GATAAGCCCGTGCCTAAGTGCTTTATTGGATCTCAGCCAGAGCGCTCTACGCCTTGCAAAGCTGAGCTCCAAATGGGATGAAACATCACCTATGTGCTGAAGACGAGGTAAGGATGTCACCCCCACCTGCAGCTGCCAGAAGGGGATGATCTGTTGATCTGGGGGAGAACACGCTCTCTGCAAAACTGGGCTGGTCTTGTATTGATCAAAAAGCAGGCCCACCTCCCACTATAAAACAAATCATTGCTTTTTAATTCCAAATAACAGAATAGTCCACATCCTTACTCCTGCTTTAGCTTCAATAATAATTTTGCAAAAATCCCTGGAGTCTCTATACTGCTGAAATCCATATGCAAGGAGAAAACATAGGCAAGGAATCTGTATTATAATTCCCTGCTTTCCAACCTCCTGGTCGAGTGTGGAGCTGTTTTGCACATTAATACTGCTCAAAACAACTCAAGAAAAAGCCAAGATTTGGTCTATAAAAGTCAGGACAGTGTGAGAGTGTCGGACAACAGCAGAAAATAAAGGGTTTTTTTATCTAACACTAGGACGCAGTCCATATCCCAAAGAAAAATATTCAGAAGTGATGAAGTCTTTGTTCCTTTTAATTTTTCTTTTTCAAAAAGACATTATCTGCTGTTCTCTCCCTGAGTGATTTCACTAACTGCAAGGGAGTAATTTCCCTCAGCACAGTCATTGTTCAATAAGAACAGCCTAACTCTTTGTGAATCCCATGTGAAGTCATTTAGATGATACTTTTTGCTTTGTTTATATTTTAAAAAATAAATTAAAAGATATGCTGCTTTCAACATTCTGACATAGTTTTTTCCAAAGGAGGACCCAAAAATAGGGCCTATCATCTATACATAGAGAGGAATCAGCTGATAACTCCGTTGATTAGAAGGTTTTGGATGCTAAGTAAACCAAGCTGTTGGTTCAGATCCTACAACTCAGATTTGGGAGCATATAAATTAGATTTCATCTCTACAAGCCTTTACATTTTGTAACTTATTATTTCCTTTTCAGAGAGAGATGGTACATCTCTCAGACCTGAGAATCTCAAATAAACCCAAATTTAATTTTAAGAACTGCCAAAAGAAAGCCAAAGAGTGCAGAATCAAAGCTTCAAAGTGCAGCTATTCCAGTCCCTACAGGAAAGCTTGTACTCCAGAACAATTTTTAGGAAGCTGTGCCATTTTCTCCAAGGACTCACATCAAAAATGTTAGAGGAGACATAAATAAATAGCCAAATGGCCTCCTAATTTCCATTTAGAAGTAATAGCATCAGCTCAAGCATACTCTACCAAATATGAGTTGTTTTTCAGCCTCACTGGCATGACAGGAAAATATACTCTGCTCTATAAACAGATTATATGCTGCTTTATAAAGCTCTAAAATATTTTTTACTTCTGTGACAGGTTTGATTTATAAGAGTTTATTGCTCCTGGTTTTGCCCTCCTAGTAAATAAATAAAAGTTTGGGATAAAAAGAGCTGGGAAGAATTTGTTCTTATGAGTGAGACTTTGAGTTTGCAACAGCAGGGAGAGACCTGAATTTGGATGCTCAACGTCCTCCGGAAGGTGCCGGTGGAAGGAAGGTGCCTGTGCTTTGGTGACCCAGTCAAGGGCTTGCTTTGAAATACTCTCCCAGTTGTTTTTCATAGCAGGGCATGAACCACAATGAAATCAACTAAATTTGAGTTCCCTTGCTTTTTTTTTTTTTTTTTAAAGAAAAAAAAAAAAAAAGGAAAGAAAAGAAATTACTGCCATCCCTTAAAAGCTTGTTTTCTTTGTTGATTAAGAGGCAGTCAATTTTCCCTTTTCAAACAACCACCGAGCAACAGCCTCCCGACCCCCTCGGATGTTCGGGCTGCCGGCAAACACTAAAACCTCCGTGACAAACTGCAAAAAAGCTCGACCTTTCCCCCTGTCCGGTGACCCCCTGTTCGATTTGTGCTTTAGTTAACCAATACCTGATTAGATAATGCTCAGCTCCAGGCCCGCAAAATGAGATAAAATTCAAATTTATGGCTTTTCATTTAAACTGATCTACAGCACTCTAATCATGACCCAAGCACAACTATATCACAACAAATTCTCTTTGTCCCAGAGCGTGTTTTATGGTTGAACTGTGTAAATGGACACAATAGACATTGTTTGCTTGGACTTGCTCTGGCAAAACTCTGCGTTGATGCCGTAGGGAATCTTCTACAGGAGAACGCAGGAGCAGGCTCCATGAAATTCCTCAGACTTCTGCCTCAAATTTGTCTTTATCATCAACTGCCTGGCTGCAAAATTTAACAGCACCAGTCCTCCAGCTTCCACTTCTCTCCCAACCACTACAGGCTAATCCAGAATCAACTCAGAGGGATATCAATCAGAAAAACTGGAAGTCAGAAGAAGTATCCCACAGCTGGAAATACCCAAAACTGTGACAACCTTTTGCAAGGGAATAAAAATGTCCTTTCCAAAAAATGCAGTTAGAGTCCAGATCTGTGTGTGGCTGTAAACTCTTCCCTCCAATGTGCAAGGAGGGTTTTGGGTTAAAATTTTCTAGTGTAAGACTCTACACTACCCAGCAATGTACTATTCTAGGATTTACATGTAATCAAACATAAGAGAATACTGTGGCAGAATCTACATCAGTGCAATTCACTCATCAAGGATCCATTGTGGAAAGAAAGATTTTAAAGCCTCTCATACAACAAAGTCACTTAAACCCACAGTCTGTGCCAAACAGACATTTTGGTTCCATCCTTCCTCTGCTGAAGACCAGCTATGAAATTCCACCTTGATATCAGCAACAGCAGAATGAATTCTCATTTGCTAATTGGCTTATTGGCCCCTGGCTGGACAAATGCCCTGTTTTTCAAGAGTGCCCTTCTAAGCAGAAAACAACACCAACAGAAAAGCTCAAATTCCCGAGACAATACTTAAACCTCAATAAATGACACCTTTCCCCTCACCATCCCACACTGCCTTTAATCAGTCAGTCCACACACCAGTAACAGCTTCTTTCCCCCTTTTGTACTCCAAGGCACAAGTTCAAGGAAGTGGTGGATTCCAGAGGAGTGTGATAATGAGCATCTGGGCAGGAATGGGCACAAGGAAAGTCTTCTCCAGCACTACCAGCTCCCTCTCATCCATCCTTTAGCCCTAACCACCACTGTGTGCCATTCTACTCACTGTGTAAACTCTGGTAACCAACATTTCTTCGTCTCCTTTCAGCTACAATAAAGGTATTTAAACCCACTTGTTGGAAAAATATTCTGTTTCAAGCTTTCCTGGGCACCACAGGATGCTGAGTGAGTGACAAAATTGCAGAGGGACTTGACTGTTGATTTTGTGTGATTTTGCTCCAACAGCTTTTCAATAGTTTCCCCCAGCTGTCCCAAATATATAACACTATTCAAATGGCACGAGTCCTGCAGTTTGAAAGGGGTTCAGTCTGCCAGCTGGGCTTCCAGCACTATCAAGATATTAATTTCTTGTCTGGATATATCTTAGGCTCCAAAATCCTAAATATTTCAAGCAGGAAAATGAGTAATATCGTAGCATATTATCCACATCTGAGGATGTGAAAATCAAGATGGGTTTCCCTCAGTTTTAGTGGGGTTATCCCGCACTACAGCACTTTAGGGTCCGGTCTAAAATACCCTAATTTTGGAATATGTTAAATCTGCAGGTACAGTCATATCTCAACAGTTTCTCTTTAGCTTCTATTATCAATATCTGAACTTAATTGTGGTGTGGTTAAAGGTCAGATTTTATGGTTTCCTGGTGCCTTTTTCAAATAATAATGATTTCTCACTAGCAATTATATTGCATCAGAGTCTGTTAACTTGATAGAGTGCTGCCAAGTCTATAATTTCTCCTGACACTCTTCTGTCATATTGTCACAGGTCTCACAAGAGTTTAAACAACTGGATGGAAAGTTGGGAATGAACTCACCGAGTGTTTATGGATAGTTAAGAGCAAATCAAACCTCCCTTTCCACCATATCTGCAAGGCTCTGCTAAACGGCAGAACTCCATTTTTCCTGGGAAAATGAACTCCCATCTCTCCAGAGGTCAGCCATGCCCCTGGAGAGCCATGGAAACTCTGCACTGCTCCTCTTATCAGAAACCAAAGGAAACGTGCAGATGGAAAACTGAGATTAAGCTCTGTTCCTACAGCACATTGTTAAAACTATGAATAAAACCACGCAAGAACATTTGTTACCTCATAACACAACAGCAACATACACCACATGATGTCTAAATCCCTGACCTGACCATGGACCAGCAGCTCAGCCAGCTCCACAGTGATAACAGCAAGGGAAACACGTCCCTAAAGGCAGGGAAAGCAGAACCAACCCCTGTACTCACGAAAGGAGTCCCTGAACTCCGTCAGGAAAAGGAACGTTTCCCAGTGCCTGCAGAAGCAACATGAACCACACCATCCCCACGTGTGCTGGGTCTGACACCAGCTTCCAGACATACTCCATCAAGGGAATGGCAAAATTCCCATGAAGTTAAATGGAAGCAGGACCAACATCCCAGCTCTTGAGGTTCCCCAAGTAGCACCAGGTTCTTCAATTTAGCCCCACCACACTGCATTTTAGGGCTATTGTAGTCATCACTGACAGAAAGTGACAATTGACACCCTGAAAGCAGCACCCAGTTTCCTTTCAAACCTAAAGTGCAGTGACTCTTGCAGATCCCTCACTCTCAAACATACTGCAGAACTATTCAAGAATAGACTAAAAATGGTACAGAAGCGTTCCAACAACACATCACCTGCCAACATCCACCCAGACAGATTTCATGCATGAAGAGCAATATCAATTCCTGACTTTTTTCCTCTTTCAGTTGACACTTTTCTCCACATAGAAAGCGCCAAAAGGCCACAAAGCAGTTGGTGCACACAAATATGCTCTGGTTGCTGCAGGATCAGACTCAAATTCTGCAAATAATAATACAAGAACTCAACAAACCAAAAGAAAGTAGAGCATCTTACCTCCCAACCGTAACTGGGATCTTTGAGGTGTGGCCGCTGCTCTCCTACAAAAGGGCCAAATTTTTCCCCCGCTTCAATCTTCCTTTTGGTCCATATCCCTAATCCCGCTCCAGGAACGTTGGATTCTCGGAGCTCGAACTCTGAAGGAATGGGAATGTCATCGGGAATGTATATTGGAGCCTTGTAAGGAGAGCTCTCCTTTGGCGTGAAAGTTTCGCTGGAGGTTGCCGGAGAAGACGGCTCTTGGATGCTGATGGATGTTGGACACTGAACATTTGCAGCCTCTCCATCAGCTTCTGGCGCTTCCTCCAAGGGAAGTTCGGGAAAGCTCTCGTACAAACATTCATCACCTGGAAAAGAAAGCCAAACAGTAGGATTTGAAATATCCTGACAGATTTCGCATATGAAACCATTTCAGCCCGCACACACAAAACGGAGAGGACGGTTTGGTAGGCGGGCGGCACCTTCATCAATCACTAACCCCACTGCAGAGCCTCACCCTGGAAGGACATGAGCCTTTTCTCTAGTGCAGGCCTGAGGGGGACACAGTGTTTCTCAATATTCCTGACATCAAAAGTGGTTTGCATCACTGAGCACAAGCGAGGGAATTACATGCAGATGTATAGGCAGGCACACCCATTGTCCAGCCCGGGCCGGATACGGTGCTTCGCGTCGCACACGCTTTGAAAATCACAACTGAAAGCCAGCATTACACGTTACAACTGAAATCTAAGAGAAGTGAAAAGCAGGAAAGCTTTACTGGTCTTTCAGAGAGACAGGCTGAACCTAAAGTAGCCAAAATTAAGTTTGATGGCCTCCAATTAGTCTTTGGAGGAAGGGATCCAGCCTACCACACAACTCCTGGCAAGAGCTTCAGCTGATGTAAATCAGTGTCTTACCACTGACCTCCAAGAAATGCAATGGTCTAAAATAAGCTCAGGATCCAAGCAGCACCTTATAGAGAACATGAACCTTCTCTTCTTACAGTTACAAAAAAAAAAAAAAAAAAAAAAAAAAAAAAAAAAAAAAAAAAAAAAAAAAAAAAAAAAAAAAAAAAAAAAAAAAAAAAAAAAAAAAAAAAAAAAAAAAAAAAAAAAAAAAAAAAAAAAAAAACAAAAAAACAAAAAAAAAAAAAAAAACCTGGGGCAGATCCAAAACACATTAAAAAAACCTTCATCTCTGGGGCTTAGCCAGCAAACAAAAACTAAAAAACTCACTGTTTTTGACAGTACAAAATGTAAGACTGATTGTAAATTCCTTTTAGTAAAAAAAACTGAGTTACTTCAGCAAGGGCTTTAACTGTACCAGCAACACAGTGCTCAGCCCAATAACATGCAAAAGGAGCAAAAAAACCAACTAACCAAGGAAACTTTTTAATTATTTACATTCATTTAATTTTATTAGTGTTATTGGCTTTTTATACACACCAGAACTCATTCCACTTAATTCAAACCTAAATAGGAGGTGAGAATACTTTTCTCCAAGGACTGAAACGAGAGATTGGGTATTTAAGACCTGAGCATGAGGATATTTGCATAATATGGTTGGCCCAGAAATTAAAGCATTACGCTGGGCTTGGCACTCAGAACGACTCTGTTTCAGTGAAGAAACAGGAAACTTTAAAATGTTCTTTCAATTTCTTGCTCATTTAAGAAACTATCCATGGTAGATTAGCACCGTATGCCTTTTCCACTGGAAACTGGTCATAGCCCATTGTCTCTCACATCTTTGTTACATATTATCTCACGGTTCTGTATCTGTACTTTCATGCTTCTGGTACTGCCTAAGACAAACACTGGGACATAACAAATCATTGGAATAGATTGCTCCCATCACAGGACTGGCAAACTGGATTCTTCATCTGTGAGCAATTTATTCACAGCCATGAACTGTTTTTCTTTCTTTCATGTGGCACTGGCTATGACCTCATACATGTCACAAGAAAGTTCAGCTACCCATTCCCTCGGCCTCTGTTTTGGCAGACTCTGCCCGCACTGCAACGACTGAACCCAATATTGATTAGTTTGTCACTTTTCTAATACCTGGCGCTCTGAGAAGTAAAAAGTCATGACTGACTTGACCATTTAGCTGAGAAGGACACACAGAGGGATTTTCCATTGCTTATGGCGCAGAAATCTTGCCATCCTGTCATAGTTCAGTGCTGCAGAGTTTGGCAAAGATGCTCGAGGGCTCGTCAAAGCACCAGTGCAGAGGGCTTTCTCTGTGCCTACCACCATTCCCATACTTTCCTTCCCACAGCAACACTCATCCTGGACTCCAAGGAAGAGGAAAAACGACATGGAAAGGATAGAGACACAGCTCCACCTGGATGCCACCACTCACTTCGCTCTGCTCTGAGACAACCATACTAGGAGCCATCTCTTATATCATGGCACTGCTGCTGCCCCCAAACACAGCTCTGCTCCAGCGTGGTGGGACGGGTGACAGAGGTTCCTCCACATCTCCTGAGCACCCCCAAAACTCCCATGTGCTCCCTGACTTCACATGCTGGCAGCAATGTTGTGTCCAGCCAGGGCAGGCTCACTCCTGTTCAGATGTCTTCCCCCAGCTGTTTAGATTGCAGTCCTGCCTTAAAAGACTTCAGCTGTTTTTGAAACAGGGATAAAAAAACTCCAACCCATGTATACACATGGGGTGCAGGAAGAGAAATCGCTCAAGGAAAGTGATCTGGATGATGATAAGCACATGGCTCACTGGAAGGGGGGTCCGGGGGATAAAATCTACAGGCATCTAAATCCCACTGATTTTCCATGACAGCTGGGTGCCTGACACTCAAACTCCTTCAAAAGCCTATCTCACACTGCCACTGTGGTTTTCCCTGTCCCACCAAGCAGTGTCCCATAAAACCAAGGCTCTCCTTGAGTCCTACAGTCAACTCTCCTCCACCAAATAATAAAGACTCTCTGCCAAATAAATTAAGTCACAGCAAGCAATGACCTGTTCTGTGCCTTTCCCAAAGGCACCTTCCTCAGCCCCACTTGCCAGCAGCGCCTGCCCATGAGCCAGCACAAGCCAAGCCTTAAACATTTAGCAAGCACAGCTTTACAGATGTTTCTTCTCCCCCAGGGACAGTCCAGTTTAATTTCTCTTTCTCAGACTCAAAGGCCTCGGTTATACTTATCTCAGTCATTCTGGCTACGCTCGTTTTTACCCATATAGGGTCAAACCTGCAGCTGATAAATTGGCCTCTGGAAGGCTGGCAGGGAGACAAGTCCGTTTGCTGGGTCTATTGTGCCTCCTTTGATTTCCACCAGCCACACCCGATGTGGTCGTTAAACACTGGCTTTCAGCTTGAAAGCTCTGGAAAATATAATAGGCCTTATATGCCCCAAAGCTCTAACAGTGTGGGTAGCACAGATTACTGAAATAGACTTTTGACTGAAATAGCAATGTATTCTAGAAAAAAAAATATATATATTTAAACCTCAAAATAAACAGAGAGTTGAATTATGACTGAGCAAGAGATGGGAAGACCACTAAGACATATTTGTGAAATTAATGATATAAGGAGCTATATTTAAATCAATGTACATAAACCAAGGATCTGGGCCTAATTTTCAAAGGGCGTGTGACTATTCCCCTTAAAATTTACACCCACATACATCAGAGGGACTTCCAGCAAAACCATAGAATACTGACTGATACAAAACCTTTGTAAGGTTAGGATTAAACCCAGGGACTTTGCTGATAAGCATCATTTTCACAGTGAACTGCAAATCATTCACACAGATAGCACAGCAGTTTTGAAATTCAAGATGGCTTCTTTAAATTCCAATAATTATCCCCACTAGAAACGAGATGAAATAAGAAGTGAGGCTCCTGATAAGGGAAGAGGTGAGATTAGCTAGTGTGGAAGCTTAGATGTTACTCTCCATAAAGTTCTTCACCGTTATTTTACAATAAAAAACATGAGCAAGCTTCAAAGGAAGCCCGGGAGGAAAGGTTAATTGCTGCTAAAAGACCAGAGTGGACACCTGGGTTTGCACTTTTGACACAACCTTGCACGCCAGCAGGAAAGAGCCCGTGTGGCCACGTGCTGGGGAGGTGCCTGATGAGGATGGGAGAGCAAAATGCCAAAGCCACCACTGTTCCTGCAGGGTCTGGGGTCATCTCGAGACTGAGAGGCCTCCTGTGCACGGCTGGGAGGAGGAGAGGACTTCCTTCCACCGGGATGTTTCTTAGCAGTTTCAGCAGGCTCTTCCTCTCCAAGAGCAATTAGGTGAGAGGCACCGATGACAGAGAGGCAGAGGTTGCTGAACACAACCCAAACCGCTTTCCCCTGGCTGCGACCGCGGGCGAGGCGAAGACGTGCTGCTGTCAGAGCACACCGGGCCACACGCTCAGTGAGACTGCGACTTTGTGCAGCTGAAATGACACGCGATGGCATCTCACATTGAGCAGACATGCTAGCCTGTCACGTTTATCCATGTTTCAGGGACGTCTTAAACTCAAACTTCGCACAAAGTCCTCCGAGGATCAAGCCTATGCCCAGATCTGCAGAGTCAAGCCACCCATAACAGACAGAAACGCATCCATACAGACCACCCGCTCTTTCTTCAGGTAAATTGTGCCTGAGGATATACATTCCTGAAGTGACTATTGACTGATGAACATTCTAGCACAAAAGGAGGGGCAAACACTGACCTCTGCAGTGGCCAGGAACAGGACCTGAGGGAATGGCCTGAAGCTGTGTCAGGGGAGGTTTAGGCTGGATATTAGAAAAGGGTTCTTCACCCAAAGGATGTTTGGACATTGAAATAGGCTACCCAGAGGAGCAGTCACAGCACCAAGGCTGACAGAGCTCAAGGAGCATTTGGATGATGCTCTCAGGCACGTGGTGTGAGACTCCTGGGGATGGTCTTGTGCAGGGCCAGGAGTTGGACTTGATGGTCCTTGGGAGTCCCTTTTAGCTTGGCAAATTCTGTGATTCTCTGAAATCCAGTTCTCTGCCCTTGGATTCATGCACATGACCACCAGCAACTTAATCATAAACTCGATGGCTGATTACTGCAGATGAAAGAGGCAGGCTGAAAGCAAAGGCATCTAGAGAGCCTACTTCAGAATGCCATCACCTTCTGAGCAGGATAAAGTAAGAGCTGAGATAAATGTGGAAGTGGCTCTTTGCAGTGAGAAGAGACACACAGTTTCATGCCTGCAACTTCTCAAAGGTGAGAAAGATGACCCCTAGTCCCAAAGATTAGACACTAGGAGAACTATTTGATGGGAGAATTCCATCACATGTCAGGAGCTTTGAGCTCCACCAGCTCTATTGGCCATGCCTGACACAAGCCTTTGGGGAGGATGCATTAATGGAGGCTTTAAGGAGCAT